CATTGAACAAAACAATTTTACTAATCAAAGTCTCCATACAATTGAAAAACAATTAGATAAAATTGAAACTAAAATTGATAAACTCTCTCAACCAAAATTCTTAATCAGAGAAAACCCTCTGGTTGATTTTCCAAATTCTTCTTCAAAGGCAGTAGCCTTAAAAACATCATCTACATCCACAAGTCAAAAAATTGATCAAATGTTATTAGAATTAAAAAAGGAAAAAACAGTTCGTGTTTTAAAACATCCAACTGAAAATTCATTAGAAATATCTTCATCATCCTCTAAGTCTGAAAGAAATTCAGATTTCATTCGAAAAGTTGAACAAGCTTTTCAAAATTAGAACTCAAAAGAGTTATAAATAAACATGTCAATCCAACATCTCTCACAAAAAACTGGTATCCCAGACCTACTCCTCCTGATATTCAATTTGAAGAAAAAAATATCCAAAATCAATTCTCAGTCTCTTCTGATAAACTCTATGAATGGAATATAGATGGTTTATCAGAACAAGAACTCCTTAACAAACTTCAACATATCTCTATGGTTGCTAATAGCTATATTACCAATCATAATCTCAGCCAACCTTAAGTTGTCGACCTTTTGGTCACTGGATTTACAGGAATGCTTCATTCCTGGTGGGAGAAATATCTCACTAAACGGTCCAGAAATGAAATAATATATATATATATATATATATATATTGCATTTCACTGAAATATATTTGGCAAATGCTTCCTTGTTCGAACCAAATTTTTGTACCACTGTGGACGGAGAAGAGTGCAAGAACGACCACCTACAAGAAAGAGCAAACATCCATGAATAATCTAAGGCCGATGTAATATTGGATAAAGGGTCTCTGGAGGTCAAGTTAGTATAATATCTTAAAACTCAAGCAGTGGGCAAGAAGGCATAGTATGTGTTGCCATGTTGAAACCTAAGGGGTGTATTTACTAGTCGAGAGAGATTTTTTTAGGATATTGAATTTGTATTAAACCGAGAGAATCATATAGGATATTTAGCATAAGATGTTATTTCCTTTTAGGATTGTGGTTACTTGAGGCACAAGCCAATTCCTAAATTGTAGAAATACCGAAGAATATAGGAAACCAATATGATCCCTAGTCGAATCAGGTTTTCGTGTCTTGTGAAACAAGCATATGGTCGGAAAGGCTTGTTGGCCTTGCCTACCATTTCTGGTGCCCAACAGGGTGTGATGGCACCTTTGCTCCATGTAGGCAGCTTAGTTTGATTCGAAGTCGTTGAGTCCATGACCAAACTATAAATACATTGATATTCTGATCCACCTTACTCCGGCCCAAGAAAATTCATGGTCCCACAAATTTCCTTAACTATGCTTTGGAAATGATGTACCCTTGAAGGTTAGGACCATTTCTTTCGAAGTAAATTGAAATAGCATGTCATTGGTAATTCTTTAACGCATACCAATCCGGTTCTGTAATCAATGCCAGGTAGTGGGGATGTTCTGAATTTACACATGTGATCTCGAGAGTCATACCATCAAGACAACGATGATGAAGATATATCACATTTTACGTTTCCAAGAGTTTTTAGCCATCAGATTCATGAATCTCAAGATGAATTGTTCCAGATTCAACGCTTATGGCATTCCAAAGAAACCTCTATGAATACTCATCCATTCTCTTTCACTTTCTCCTACAGCCTTCAAAATTTCTCAAGTTTTCTTTGAAAAAAACTTTTCACAATACCCGAACTTTTTTTTTCCAACTTTCTTCTCTAAATTCCTGACGATAGCTATAGCTTCCATTCTTGATGTTCGTTATGCTCATCACCCAAACTATACTTAATTTGAGTTCCTAATCTTAGGGTGAGGAATCAAGAAAAATGTAATGGTTACGTTCAACCTAGATAGAACTTTTTCAACTAATGTATCCTCCGGTGAGAGGCCGACGAAGATGATACTCACTGCAGCCAAATCTATCTGACCTTAATTGTCCATGCATTGATGTTTCCCTTGTCAGACTTTACAAAATAGGTGACCATCAGCTATGGACTAACTCTCTGCAATCGCACCCTAACATCATTTTGAATCATCACTTATTTCAAGCTTCTCAACAAGTGGTATGGTGCATAGTCAGGAATTCAAGAGTTTCAAGCTTAGTGTTACACTGTGTGAACTAGCTCCAAAAGTCAACACTTGTTCCAATCGTGAGCGAGTCTTCATTGGGAAAGTTGGAGATTGTTGGGGATATGTCTTGAGAGTCAATCTTCAGAAGAAGCATTTCATGATGATGTTTGAATGTATAGTTAAGTCTAATACAACAAAAGCACACACAATCACTAATTAGGACTATTTCAATAAACCATATATGTCCAAATAATAAATCCATGGACAATGGATTGATGGAATAAGTAATTTAAATATGTTAAACTACAAGGACCTTCTTCACATAACCATAATGTCCAAAAGGTTCCTGATCATAGGATTGTTAGATGAATACTGACAATCCAGATAGAGCATTACGTATTATGTCTGCTTCAATGGGAATGATAGAAAGTCTCAAGCCATTCGTGTAAGAATACTAAGACAAGTATGTAGGCGCTCGTTAAAGAAATGAGTCCACTGAACACAATTAAACCTGAGTAATTGCATGGAGGCCTACTCACATGTCAAGCAAGTAACTCTACTTGTTGGAATAATGTAAGTAGTCATTTGACCTGAGACATCATAGATATCTTGGGGAATACAATGCTGATCATTTCATAATGAGACGTGACCACATCTCATGTTGGATGTATTCTATGCATTGTTGGGGTTAGTGATTTATTCTCAGAGGCATGTGAATGTTCAACAAGGAATCTCTACAAAAGGATATCTAATAAAAGGATTCGGAAGGAATGTATCGATAATGATGGAAGATATTCCTATACAGCTCAATTGAATCATATAAGATAGTATAATCACATTAAGGGTTTGACGTAAAGTATTCATACCCTGGTAATATGATTAGGAGTATTGCATTAAAGAAGGAATGAATTACATTGTAATTCCAACTGAATAAGTTCTTCGACCAAATTCTAATTATCTTGGGTAGTCATGGTTAGATGTCTCACATGGCTTGTGGGTCATTCTAGATGATTAACTAAGTCGTGATCAAAGTAGAAGGACAATTAAAAGTAATTTTTAATTCGTGAAGTGATTGTATTAGTACTAATCAATTGGATTGTTACCAATCACCTCATTGTCTCGGTAATTAGAACCTAAAAAGATTGTACACCAATACACTTGTGTGATGAGATAACAAAGGATAATGGAATTAATTAATTAGATTAATTACATGTCATGATTAATTAGATAGTCTAAATAAACCATAGAAGCAATGAAACATTATTTTTGGGCTTAAAGGAAGTTCAAGTTCTTTTGGGTCCATTGGGTACAAACCCATTGGGCTTTTAATTCAAGCATGGAGTGACTTGAAATAAGAAAATCCAAGCCAAGCCAAGCCCAACACTAAGGAAAGGCCAACTGTTTTGTGTAGGAGTGAGAGAAAGAGAGAGAGAGAGAGAAAAAACTTAACCATCACGCTCATAGGCCAGCTACCAAAGGAAGAAGAAAGCTAATCATCCCGTTTTGTTTTGATTATTCCCTCATCCATCTCACTACACTAATGGGTGTGGATCTTTGGAGGCCTTCAACTTTGGGGACTAAGGAGAATCAAGTAGTTCCAAATCTTCAAGGTGGAGGAAGCAATGAGGGAGCCTAGGCTCAAGGAGGTCCAAGAGCAAAGGTCTTGGAGGTGGTCCTCCTTGGTCTAAAAGTCTAGATCAAGAGGTACAAAACTAACCCTTCACTTTGTTCTTCAATAAGTTTATTTGATGCATCAATTGTAAACCTATGCTTCTAGAAGAATTTGCATGAATATAGCTTTGATATTTTTCTTCCATTGCTTATGTATTTGAATTTTGAATTGTCTGCATGCTAGTCACTCGAAATCCCACATAAATCTCAATTTTCCCTTTCAAACCGAAGACCTGTAGATGCTCCGGTTAAGAAATGTGACTTTGAGATAGAGGCTTATGTCAAAAGGAGTAGAAGAAAACCTAGAAAGACTTTGAAAGAGACTCTAAGAAAAGACATGGAGTACTTAGAGCTAACAGAATACCTGGTGCAAAACTGAGTGCAATGACATTCTAAGATTCATATAGTTGAACCCATTTAGTGAGATAAGGCTTTATTGTTGTTTTACTAGTTCTATCAATTTTTGTAGCTAACATTACATATATAAGGGCATTTAGATCTAGGTCCAAAAAATCAACATGGTTATTAGGTTAAGTCTAGTTACCTACAAGCAAGACACATTAATCTGTTATATTGATTATAAAAAGAATCTGTCACATAGTTATATAAAAATACAATTAAAATGTGTTATAAGTTGATTATAAAATTAAAAATAAAATCTATAAAGAGGGTTTAGAGCAGAAAGAAGAACAAGAATTACCAAAAAAATAATTAAAGAGATAATAGGAAGAAATTTAATTTTTATAAGAAACTTATCATTAAAGAGATAATTATTGATAATAAAATAATCCTAAACTTAAAGAATTTGACTTATTTTAATAAACTAAACTATTATTAATATTGACTCAAAATATTCTTTGCTTAACAAAGCGGACCAGCTAGTGACTTCAATGCTTCTCTACGGCAAGGAGCAGGAAAGACTCATAAAGATATTTCAGTTTTTTCTGATCACCATCATGCGATTCACGAGCATTAATAATCAAACTCAAGGCATACGTGTGAAAATGGGCATGAAATTCATCTCCATACATTAAGTCACCCCGTGATAGTAGCACAAAATTCTAGACTTATACCAAGTTTTCCCTACTTAAAAAAAGTTTGAGCAACTCGGAACCCAAAAATTTGAAGACCAAAGTGAAACAATGACTAAAGTTCAGGGGAATGTATATAAATAAGCTTAAATAAATAATTAAAAAGCAAATTTCCTTTTCTTCTCTCATTCTCTCTCTCTCTCTCTCTCTCTCTCTCGTTTTCTGCCGAAGACCCGAAGTCATCGATTTTTCTGTCCCTTTCCAGAGGAGGCTATACCTCGCTCTTCCGTGGAGCGCTGTGGCCATTGCATGTCACCCGAATCGGCTCCTCCAGCGATACGACGACGATGCCCACCGCAGCCTCACCCTCAGTCTCCGCCTCCGCCTCTTCAACCAGTGGGACCCACTCGGACCTCCTGACCCGGCTGACGTCACCCGACTCCGACGTCCAGCTCAAGGCTCTCAGAGAGCTCAAGAACCGCATCATCGGCAACCGCACCAAGAAGCTCTCCTTCATCAAGCTCGGACTGGTCCCACCCGTCGCCGCCATCCTCGCCTCTAGAGCCCAATCCCAATCCCAGGCTCATCGCGACAACAATCTCCTTGTTCAGTCGGTCGCCGCCCTCGGAAGCTTCGCTTGCGGCTTCGATGCCGGCGTCCAAGCCGTTCTCGACGCCGGCGTGTTTCCTAACCTCTTATTGCTTCTATCGCATCCTGATGCTAAGGTACAATTGCTTTCGTTTGTTCAATTGTTCAATTTTGCTTTGGTAAACAAGTATCTGATCGAATATGTCAAATTAATCGAATTCTCATTCTGTTCTCTGCTAGTTTTTGATTTTGGATGCGGAGAAAATGCAGAAAAGAAATGAATTATTGCTTTGCTGCTTCTGATTATAAGAAGTGTGATGTGAATTACTCAATTCAAAATATAGGAAATCGATACGGACCAAAAAGAAGATAGGAAAGATAGGAAATTGATGTGTTTCTGCTACTAGTAAATGTGATCTCAGTTGCCTTTTTGTTTACTTGCTCAAATCGTTTTTTGTGCTAAAGGTCGATTTCCCCAGCTGTGAAGTTTATAATATAGGCCAAAATAAAAAATTACAAGAAACGCAGGTATAAGAAATGGGGAACTTGGTTTACTAAAACTAGAATTGTGGTTAAACTAAGGGAATTAATTTCCGCACACCCATTTCCTCCTAATGCACACCCATGTTTTTCTGTCCCTTGATTCTTTGATTTATTCAATCCAAAGGCTAGATATAGACCAGAAATAAGCATGGGTTGCAGGGGGAGAGAATGGGTGTGCAGAAATCACTACCCTTAAACTAACTGCATTTTATCTTCAGACTATGTTTAATAGTTTATAAGCTATTGAGTGATCAAAGATTTTTGGCTTATGGAGAATTGTCTTCACTATGATGGAAGTTCACTATACGATCAAAGCCTTACCCTGACCATTAGTTGGTGTCACAATTAGTCGGACTTCAACAAAGATCAATGCAACATGCTTTGCCTGTGTTAAATGTACCTAGGGTATGCCTATTGGTCCGGGGGGCCGTGCGGCTGTGCAAACGCTTGGATATTCAGAATTCCAGTTTTAATCAATGGACTATTTTGTAGGAATTTATCTTAGGATCTTATGATGCTTTGATTTGCAAGAGTAACAAAATATGGGAAGTAAGAAACCCATAATTTGTTTTTGAAACCTTTCAAAACTTCAAAGTAAGGTTTTCTCCAACCGAGGAAGAGTATCAGGTCTACTTGCTACTAAGGGTCTATTTGCCAATTTCCAGACTTAGCATTTTTGTGTTATGTACAGCATATGTGTGAAAGTGGAAGTGACAAGTTTTGTATGGATCTGAAGCTTAGGCCTGGGATTATATCAGCTTTTAATTGAGTCTTTAGTGTAAGAGCTACAGGTCTTTTTTTCTGGGTTAGTTGCACAAATTCAACAACAACAACAAAGCCTTTTCCCACTAAGTGGTGGGTTAGTTGACAAATATTTAAACTAATTCTATTGAGCACAGAATGTGATTGAAGTTGTTCCTAGGTGTCCTTTATTGGGTTTTAAATCAGGTGTTTTAGTTTATAGAAATGGTTTTCTAAATATTGCTTATCATATTTGAAAGTTGTAGTCTTAATTGGTTTTTTAGCTAATATTTTTTGTGTTTGAATGTTCTGGTCCTGATATGGTTATTTAATAAATGCCTTCTGTATTTGAAGGTTTAGTCCTGATAGGAAATGTTTGTTTATACTCCATAAAAGTGGATTGTGAATGATTGTGTGTCTGCATGTATTTAATATACCACATCAGTACATGGTGCATCGAACCCACCTTTATTATGGCAAGGGGATTGTAGCTGAAGTGCTTAAGACCATTCACCCATATTTTAACACACACAGGATCATTAATATCTCCTAAATACAATACCCATCGTAATGTATTAGTGAATTGTGTATCAGATACTTGTTAACCTAACTTAGTCTTTCTCTCTCTCTCTCTCTGCATTGTTCATGGGTTCTCCTTACTGTTCAAGAACAGCACCCATCTTCTTTCTTTTCTTAATTTTTTATCCCAACTTTTTATTCTTAATTCTACTGAAATATCTTGTATTTACATGCTGTCCCAGAACTCAAGCAACCTTTCTTCTTGAAGTCTAGCCCTTTTCCCTCTAAAGTCTAGTACTTTAATGCCTAATTGATACTAGGATTTTTCAGCCGCAGAGCCTACGGTACAAGAACTATAGGCGATTTTCACTAACATGTGCTTTGTCAACCACTACTATCAGAACTTGATATATTCCATTTTCTACCGGATGATTGCATGTGTATGCGCAATGGATAATCTCAAGGGCCTTTCTTTTATTAAGAAAACCATGTAAAAACAACTAAAGAGCTTTGAGTGACCATAGTGAAATGAATAAAAAGACTTTGTTTTCGTTTTTTTTTTTTTAATATGTAGCAAAACAGACATTTGTTTATACATTCAAAAAGCTCCAAAAAGTATTTATAAAGAAATGGTCTAATTGATATAAATGAATGGGTATGGGTCTATGTTTCTCTATGTCAAGACAGAAAAAGAAGCCGTAATTGTAAATGATTAGGATTATAGAAGTGACTCCCGTATAAAAAAATCCTATATATCTTGGATGATATAAACAATTCTCCTGATTTGGTAGTTTGATTTGAAGTTGCATCAAAACATTGGTAGTTGAGAGAATTGTGGAATCCACAATCCAGAATTATAGTTTATCCATGTCAAGGTGTCATGTATGTGTTTTTTGAATGCCTGATGCTCAATAAAGTTCACAAATAATCACGTGTATAACTCTACAAGTTATTAAAGATAGAGCCACTAGACTGACACCACCGGACATTCCATTTTCAAATTGTCTGCTGTCTATGAATCTCTATGTACTCCCGACGTCTTTTCCCTATGAATGATTCTTTCTAATCTAGTGGGGTGGGATCATTGGAGTGGATAAAAGAGAAGGAAATCTTGTCCTTCCATTCTTTACTGAAAATTAAATGTATATGGAGAATACTCTATTGACATTGTTCATCTAGTCTGTTTCGGTTAGTGTAATGTGTCACTTAGTACTCATTTTACTCTAGTTATTCCTCGTTGGGTTAATTGCAGAATTTTCCTGTGTTTCTAATATGTCCTGCTTCCATGAGTACCTTTTCTTTCCTGCTCATTTAATATGCCATTCGATGGTTTTTTTTTATTGTAGGTTGTCGATTCCGGTGCACGTTCCTTGAGGATGATTTATCAATCAAAACTGGCTCCAAAGTGTGATTTCATTCAAGAGAAAAACATGGAGTTTCTTCTTTCGTTATTGAATAGTGAGAATGAAAATGTTACTGGACTTGGTACAAGTATAATCATACGTTCTTGTGAGACTACTGTTGAACAGAAGGCACTATGTCATTCTGGGGTTGTTAAGAAGTTAATTAGCCTTCTTGAAGGTTCTCTAAGTCAGACAGATAATAGTTTAGAGTCTCTGGCCACAATTATGAAGAACAATGTTGAAGCTGTTTCAGAGTTTGTGGGATCTGAAAATGGGAGAGCTTTGAGTTCTTTAATTGAATTAACAAAGGATAGGTATCCCCGTACCAGATTATTGGCCTCTATGTGCCTGATTGTTATAAGGAATTCCTCTTCTTGCTATTTGCAAGATATAGGCATCAAAACCAAGTTGGTGCATCTCTTACTTGAACTTCATGATGATCCTGGTCAAGTTGGAGATGAAGCTCCCTCTGCATTTTCTAGTTTAATTTCTGAAAAATTGGATCTACAGAAACTAGCATTTGAGGCAAATGCTGTTGATAAACTTTACAACCACTTGCAAAAGAGTCTGTTACATCCCAAACGCTTCGAAGGAATATTGCTGGCACTGGCTGATGTATGCTCAAAGTTGGAGAGCTGCAGGTCTAGATTCCTGTCATTGCAGGTCTGTTGCCTCATATAACACATTAACTTGTTCTGGGTTAGCTATTAGCCTATTACAGTTTTGTTAATATTACAAATTTTTCCGTTCATTTAGTTTTGCACATTTATTTATCATACATTGTGGTCGTGTTTATTATGATTTGGCCAGCAATATTCTTTTTCAAAGGGCCTCTTTGGTAACACTTGTTTTTAGTTTCATTTTTCAAAAATTAAAATGGGAGGATTGCGAGGACAAAGATGAAGGAATTGGAGAGAAAAAGTGTAAATGAAATGATACATAAAATGAAAATTAAAAGCAATTTCAAACAGTTTTCGAGTTTTTATTTCATTTCATTTCTTCTTCATCTCCCATTTCCCACCATTTTTCCATCCTCGTTCCATTGTTTTTTTTTTCCATATTTTCTCTCATATGTGCCCACTTCTCCTTCATAAAAATAAAAATAAAAATAAAACTTAAAACCAAAAATAAAAGCTGTAAAAACAGTCCCTTTTTCCCCAATAATAGTGGTTTCTGTGAGCAAATCATTATGACCTCATTTCTCTTCTTTGTCTTATGTCTTACTAAGCTGTAGAATTGATATTTTGTTTGTGAAATTTCCAGCCAGTTTGTAACTTCTGATACTTTCCTCAATACAGGCATTGAAATTGGTATCTGATGCACTAACTCATGATAGTTTTGAAGTACGTACGGCAGCTTGCATTTGTTTAAGATCTGTCTCTCGGTCAATCAAGGTTTGCAATGAATTCTAGGTCAATAATATTTAGACTTTTATTACACAGAGGTGTTTCTAAGAAATTGTCATTCAGAATTTGTGTGCAGGTAATTTTATGAATGAAATGATTGTCCCTCCCTTGGTTCGGCTATTGGATGACCCCTCTACGTCTGTCCAGGTATATGCTACTAATGAACCTGTTTCTATGTCAGCTGACTCTAGTCCCATATTATTCCCAAGAATTTATGTTGGATGAAATACAGATATGCAGTTGCATCAATGCAAATGGTTTCTAAAATTACCTTAGGACTTCTCTTCGTTTTTGCACCGGTTTTGATATTGTTGGTGAAGAGGATTCTTGCCTTCTCCCCCCCCCCCTTCTCTCTCTCTCTCTCTCCCTTCCTCCCCTCCCCAATTATTATTTTGAGCTGTTTTTTGTTAATACGATAGACTAATGGACTAATGTAGAGCCAATGGTTATGAGTTATTTTTTAGGCGCTGGTTACATGTACTAGTGGAATGGATTGTGTTTTCCACTTCCCATATTTCGCACATGATACTTACTACTTGCTTCCAAAAACCCCGTGAATCAATCAACTTTTTATTATGGTTTTGATTATTACAACAATTAACTGTGTTTTCAGTCTCTCAGTTGCTTGATACTTATCAAAAAGAGGGGAAAAGAAGAGGAGTTGATTGATTGATTGATTGTTGCTCAAATAAAGGATATTTCGATGGTGGCTATTGCCAAAGAACTACAAATGAACAATCCTGTAATAAAAGTTTTGGGGAATCAAATAGATATTCAAAATAATTACCGAATTCTACCTTCTTTAGGGGCTTCCATCATAATATTTGGTGTTCAAGAGAAATTTGGTTCAAGGGGTTAAAATTTGTGTGGATGCATTGAAGCACCTAAATATAAGACTTTTTATGAGGCCACAGACTAGGTTGGGTTGAATGGTGAAAAAGATTATATGTTGTGTGATCTTGGAGCTCTTTTTCCTTGAGCGTCTTGTGCCTTTCATCTGAATCTATTGGACTTAAGGGGACATTAACTCATTCAACTAAGAGATCAAGTTCTCAATTAAAAAAAGTAGGACACTTAGAACTCAGATTTTTCAGACTGAATTCATCTTTAATTAGTGTCTTCAACAAGTATCTGAATAAAGAATGTTACAAAAGATGATTATTACAAATTTTAATTGAAAATCAAACTCATCCGCGATGCCGTGCCTATTCGGCGCTTTATTGCTATAGACAATAAAATTCAGTAAAAACATATAATATAATTCAAAATTAGTCATCAAGATAATACCTGCAGTTAGAGTTTAGATTTTCATTTCTATTCCTATAATAGATTACGCTTATCCACCACAGTTTAAATATTTTACCTAGACATTTACAACAAAAAATGGTAAGTTACAGAAAATCTCCGTTCAATGCTTTGTTTTTCAGGTTGCAGCTCTTGCTGCGATTGGCAACGTAGTAGTTGATTTTACCATGCGTAGGTCATTGTTTGGACTGTGTGGAGGTGTGAAACAGCTTGTTCAGTTATCCAGATCAATGGATTCAACTGTGAGGTTAAATGCTATATGGGCTTTAAGGAACTTGACGTTCCTTGCAGACCATGCCTGTAAACAAGAGATTTTCAAGGAGCTCACAGCTTCTTCATTAGCAAGTGTCATCTGTGGTAATGTGATGGTTTGTCGGTGGCAGCTTATAACTTTTCCTTTAATAATTTTTCTTCATATGTTTGCTTCAAATTTACATGTATTTGCACCTTTCAGACCCCGAACCTTTTGTCCAAGAGCAGGCTCTTGCACTTATCCGGAATCTTGTTGATGGATGTATGAAGTCTGTTGAGCTTGTCTTTGCTGAAGATGGCATGTTATTAGATGCTGTTGGGAGGCAATTGCAGAATGCTTCAAAAGATGAAATTTTGATACAGGTTAGATGTCTTTCTATAGATTGATGACATTAAGTAGCCATCTTATAGGTACCATGGTGACATGCAGTGCCAGTTCTAGATTCTGATACTTCATTCCGATTGCCAGTTTGTTAATATATGTAACTGTAAATTTCTGAAACATGCATTTGGTATATCAGTCTAATAATGTTGTGAAATCATGGCAGGTTCTAAATTCTGATATTTCATCTTGATTGCAGGTTTGTTGAATATATACTTAAATGGAAATTTCTGAAAACGTGCATTTGGTATATCAATATAATAATGTTGCGAATAATAAACTTACCAATTCCATGGTTATTTATTTGTTTGTTTAACCAGGGATAATTTGGAATACCAAGTTTTGATTGAAGGTTTATTGATAAAAGATGTTTTCTAGTTCTGGGTCTTGCAATTAGTGGGCCAGTGAGTTTCTTTTCATGAGTCAGAAAGCAGGCAGATGCTTTAGTTAAAGTGACATCATCTCCATCTTTAACCATCAATTCTAATTGTGCACAAGATTTTTATGCTTAAAAGTCAAGTAACCAATCTAGAAGTGAATCGTGTGATGGCCCAATGGGGACTTAATAGAACACCAGAGTTTACTTTCTCATGCTTAAAGTAACAAGATCTAAATATGCAGAAGAAAGGAATAGATGTTGAAGCTTTTGACTCCTTTCTAATCGTTATCGCTGATCTTACTGTTTCTATTATAAATATTTTACGTTATAATATGGTTTTAAATCATTTTCACATAGGGAATGTATGTGCTTAGCAATGTTGCAAGTGGGAATGAATTTCACAAGGAAGCAGTTATGCAACAACTCATTCCACAAGGAGACAATGGGACACAATCTTTTATTCTCAAGTTTTTGCAGAGTAATGAGAACCAATTACGTACTGCTTCTGTCTGGGCCATTGTGAATCTTACCTTTCCATCAAGTCCTTGTGCATTTAGCCGCCTTGTGAAACTACACGATGCTGGCATAGTTTCTCAAGTAAAGAGCATGGCCAATGATCCTTGCCTAGACGTGAAGGTTGTTATCTTATCTCTCAAATTGGTTATTTATCCATTGTATGTAATACTCGATTAAATTTTATCTGATTCATTGTGGCACAGCTTCGAGTAAAAACAATGCTTGGGCAGTTAACAACCTTCAGTGATTGCTCAGCATGATTTTCCTACCCTCGGACCACTGGCAAAGAACAGGAGTAATGATGATGTTGCACTAGTTTTGACCTCATTGTATATTCAGCGTCCTTCGTGGCTTGCAGCCACATGGTAAGCTCCAAGTCACAATGACTTTTAGTATGGCTTTTTTGTTTTAATTCAAAACTATTCTTATATAAATTGAAAGCCAGGTTAAATGTTTCGTGTGGTAAAAATAATAGAATAGTATTATAGTACTGTTATTCCAGCAAAACATCTCTTACTAAATTTAGCCTCCCCATTCTGCCCCTTAAGCCCAAAAAGAAACTCTATGTTTCAAAACCAGCTGGAGCAGTCCAGCACTGCCGCTGGCTCGACGTCACAGTGCAGCGAGTTGGAGAGGGCATCTGGGATAGAGAAATCTGGGGTTTTGTCGCCTATAACAATTTGGTCCTTTTAATATTTAACAAAAACCACTCCTAAAGTTACAAACGGTTACACCGTTGACCCCTCCATCTGCCAAATTTAAAGATAAGGACCAAAGTGTTACGAGTCCCAAACATCAACAACCATGAGAAGCCCCCTGGCCCCCTGGCCCCCTGGCTACCCCCCCTGACCATGGCCTCGAGAAAAGCTTAATGACGACATGAATTGATGTTTGTAATTAGCCAAGTTTATGTTTACATCATTATTTTTTTTTGCAGGTGTAACACGTTGCTTTCTTTCCAGTCAGAGCGGTGCGGAAGCTTTGCTAATTTTGGGGGTACTCCTAACCAGGTTACCCATCATTTTTCCCCAGTTCCATTTTTGTTTCTTTTGAACACCTTTTACTATCTTGTATCATATGGTTGATGTAGTTATGTAAACTTAGTGTACCATCTGACTGACAACACGTAGTGTGTACAATACTGTCGTATCATGTCAGATTTGTAAACATGTATACATCGGCAATCGTTTACTTCCAAATGTATAAAGTGACCAGAATAATCGTGGCATCATGTTGCATCAGTGGCCTTGTGGAAGCTCTGTGTTGAGGAGTATCGGGCAAAGGATGCTCTGATGCTACTTTGATTGAGGCAGGGCTGATTGTGTTGCAGAAGATTCACTTGTACTGCGTCGGAGTTTAGAAAGCCCTTTGGGGACTAGTACCGCAATTGCCCGATACATTATGCCGCCCACATATTATTGAGTGCAGGACATACAGAAATATCTTACAAACAAATGAGGTTTTGAGTGCGATCGTATATGAACAAATAATGCATTTGCTGCACGAATTGAGATTTTAAGTTTGTGCGGACATCCCATCTCTTTCTTTGATATTATTTCGATTTCGATCGAGGATATGAAAAAATTTCTCGGTATTATCCCGATCTAAATATTTGAACTTGAACATGGGACCATGTTGGCCTTGGGTTAACATTCTTGTGGACGATGTAAACACTGCAATTAGAACTTAGGGAAATTGAATTAACAAATGTTTTGGAAATTGAACATTTATTAGATCGCTAGTGTTAATTGATAGCGTGGACAAGAACTGAAGCGGGTTTTTACCCACGTCGTTTATAGAGCTTTGAACCAAGTTCTTTTAGCCAAGCAAATTTGTAATATGGCATGTTTCGTCAAATCTGAGAAATTGGTCAAAAATTCGATTCCCTTCCAACGTAACCAAAGCAAAAACGATATCTCGATAGACAGCATCCTACAGTTAGGCACATCACTGCAATGCTCGTCTTCGGTTCAGTTCAAACTGAATCTGCATGCACGAGGAGATTCCGTGGTTCGGGCAATTCAAATTGTTCATCATCTCCATTTACGTCGCATTATAATTTCGATCAAATTCATATGCGAAAATATATACTCAATCGGAAGCTAAATGTAACGAGGTGGACGACGTTCTTATATACAGTCTACAGATATTCAGCAGCTTATTAGTTGGTGGCAAATAATATAAATGACAGACCGGGAACCAAATTGGTATGTAACGTGAAATATACCTAGACTAGACAAAGGAACAACCTCACCCATACACGATGAACGCTACGATCCCCGATCAGCCAATCTTCTCCGTGTTGTCATCGGAGGGCCATATCACGGTCTCAAAAAGCCGTTCACGCATCAACTCCAGGTTCTCATCTGATATTCCTTGATATATTTCGGCATGATCACATTTCTGCATCAAAGCGAATTCAAGAAAAATTGGTTCTCACGTTTCTCCATCAAAGTGCTTTGCTCGTTCGAAAAGAAAATGCTTGAAGTTGCTTACCTTGACCCATTTACCGTAGAGGTGAAGCCGTGTGACCATTACTCTCTCGGCAAGTTCATGCCTCTCCTGTCAATCAGCACCGGTTGTATTTCCGTCATTCGCGTAAATTTGTAGGTAAACAATAGCGTATGTATAACATCCAAACCCGATTTTGTGTATCCTTTTCTTTACTAAAACATCAAAGGGCCAGAAAATATGTGTGTGTGAAAGTGTGAGTCTTGTGCTTTAGATAGTCAGGTTTCCAGAAAGTGATTTCAACCACGCAAACGAGTTGCGAAAGGAATGGTCTACAGGAACCCCTTCTTTTCAGCGTCTAATACAATTATAATCGAAACAAAACAAAGAACAAACAAAACAAAATGGCTTCCCTCTTTTGAGTTCGAAGCAACCACAGTATAAAGATTTATAGATACCTTCCCAAGGGTGCGGAGGAAACGCTTCCCGTCGCCAGGCTTGTGTGTTGCAACAAAACTGTCCCAAAGAAAATGGAAGCAGGATTTAGATAAAACAGTGGTAGTAGTAATACTTCGAACAACAAAGTCGTTGGAATATGAGGTGAAATCCATATTACGAAAAATGGTAAAGTGGCCTGATCGATCACTTGTCGATCACTTACTCGTACAACCACCTATATTGCGTAGGGTTCATCTCGTACAGCTGGTTCATAACAGTCCTCACAGCCTTGTACGTAAAATAGTTGAGTAATTGCTGCATGCAGAGAAATTACAGTCAGCTAAGTTACAATAAGATGCTCTCGTCTGCGAGTTCGCACTTGACAGAACGTATATAAACATACCATTGTCTACACAAAATTGGGATATGATGCAAGTCCAGACAAATTAGTGTATAATGGATGCGAAGAGTGTTCAACTCGATAAGCTCATTCGAAATGTGCAGGGGCACCAATCAGTTTTGTGGCGCAAATGGCGGTAACACATTACGGTCATCTTCCCACATCAAATGGACTCAAGAAACTACTCAATCTTTTATATCTACAGACAATTTCAAACAGCATAGCGGACTAAAAATAAAGGCGTGAACTCTATAAACATAGGAAATATCTAATTCAATCACATAAAGAAACGGATAAGGTAGTCAACTAAGGGTCTCATACACACCAAAACACCAACAAACTACATCATGTATGTAAGAGAGTTGAACATATAAAACATCATCCCATCAAAAATCTCAATAGGGGACAAGTTTCTCACCGTCTTAACATCCTCAAAACTGTCTTCATACTGCCCACCAAGTTCATTAACAATTACAAAACCCCGGTTCTTTCGCTTCCTCGTACTCCGATTCCCTGTAACAGGAAGAGCTTTCATCGAAAATCGCCTGTCGTGGCCAAAATCAATGAACGAACTGCCCAACTCCAAGGAGCCTGGTTTCACCACATGCTTCTTGGCCATTGAATTCCTCTGCAAAACCATTTCTCCGCCGCTCTTGAGATTCATCGCCGTCGTCGGCAGCGCATCCAAACACAGGCAAGGACTAGTGTGCGAGTCCACCACCGACGAACCTACCAGAGACAGAGCAGCTCCCACCATCCTCTCTCTCTCAAAAGCTCAAACCACCTTTTTGTGAAAATCCCAGATCAGAATTTTTCCCAAAAAACAATCTTGGCAGCTGGATTCAGGGAAATGCCAAGAATCTGTTGATGGGGTTTCCGAGAAAATGGGAGATTTTGATAAGAAAATCTAGCCAAAGATTCAGGAGCTATGAGGAGAGGGAAAACTTGGTGATGAACGAAGATGGTATTGTGGTGCAAGTAAAGGTGTGGGAGAATCTGGGAGGTTTTGAAGGTGTGTGAACATCAACCAGACAAATTTTGAGGTCCAAATTACTCCAACTCAAACGTTCCAAGACACATCAAATCAAACTTAGCTTCTTCCTTGTCTTCAACTTTTTTGAATATTCAATTTTTCTAACATCTAACCGACCTGGACCGATGCTTTCTCCAAATTGGTGGGCTTCTTGCCACGTGGGAGCATTTTGTATGTATTCCACATTGGGTAGGGAGGTTAGATTCTTTTGCTTGAACGTTTGTGGTTTAGAATTTGAGCTTTTTTTTTTTTTTTTTTTGAAGAAGAAGAATTGAGTTTAAATTAAGAAACCCAAGGCTAAGAAGCCAAACAGAAGCAAGAGAGCCTACGACAAGGCAAACACAACGAAACTAAGGCCAAGCAAAGCAGTGAGCAGGGATACAACAACCGACACAATCACTAAGAAAGAGTGTCACCCCAAACCCACCACAACCTGCTAATGAGGGCAAGGCAGTCCGTCATTACATAATACATGAAAAATTAGTGTGGTCAACCACAAGGTATAAAATAGTCTCATTTACAATCACTTTTGGCATTGACTTCTATTCATAGTAATTTCTTATTGCGGTCCAAACATCGATGTCTTTTGTTATAAAATTTAATTTGGTTAAGTTGAGGATGATAATAATGATATTTGTGGTGGTGATAAGCCTAAAAATGTTTATTATGATATCATTGCAAGTTATTATTTCAACACGTCCTAGGCTCAGTTTATTAGTCTCAAGTTTGCTTTTTTAAGTTGGATTTCCAAAAAGTAGAGGTTAACTTCAGCTTAAAAGAGTATTCAATGAATGACCAAGCCTTCAAAAAGTTATGTTGACTCTAGTATTTAAATGAAATGAGAGACGTGTGAAGAATAGAGTTCCACTTATAAACTGCATTTTGTTTTGTTATATCTTCAGCATAAAACTCTATTATCCGACAACCCGCGGAATAGGTATTAGTTATTTCTTTTGGTTTGGAGTATGGGATCGGCTATTTGATTGACCAAAAATTCATTCCCACAACCTTATGAAACTGTAAGAATTTAGACCCTACAATTCCAAAACTAAAAATAAAATTCAGGAGATGGGAGAAATGTAGGGCGGGGAAAGATTAAAGGAAGGATGGAGTAAATACACGTAGAAGAAATATAATAGAAAAACTCAAAATGAAAACTAGGAGCCGAAAACCATTCTAAGTTGGTCTTCTTTCTTCTCTTCACTCTCACCGCCCATTTTGACACCTCCTCCGTTTTCCTATATGCACTCACATATCTCAAACACAGAAAATAAGAACTAATGAATAAAAACGTAATGGTTATTTTTGTTTTCCGGAAGTTAATGAAAACTAAATTGTTTTGGTCAAAAACAAAACTAGGGGGCGGGGAGGATATTCAAGTGAGATTTAGAAGATGTTGTGGGAGTTATAAATCCATGAATTTTGAGAGAGCTTGTGAGCCTTGAAATGGATTTTGAGTAAATTCTATGTGAATTTTAATGAAGTCTGTGAGACTTTTATCTTGAATTTATGCATGTCCATTAAAATTCATGGACATTTCCATTAGTTTTGAAAAAAGTGGCGGGCCATCATGTGTGATGTTTGTGGGGAGTAGGCGGTGGAGGTATGGTGGTGGCGAGGGTCGTGATAAGGTAATGATGGTGGTGCTGATGGTAGGGCCTATAGTGATAATTCTGACATGGTTCTAGTGGCGGCGGATGCGGCTACAATGTTGGTCAAAGGCGGTGGCGTTATGATGGTGATGAGGATAGTGGTGGTGGTGATGGTCTTACCAAGGTGGTTCAGGAGGAGCCAAAAGTCTCATCATAAAACGCTCTTCTGATCTAAGAAAAATAAGGATATGTCTTGTCCTAAGCTATCGACCCTCATCATTTGGTATTGGTATAATACCTTTCTTGTTATCATCTTCCTCAACTCAACCCTCATACCCAGTATCATGACTAAGATTCAAAATAAAAGTCCCTTTAAGCGAAAGAAAGAAGGAGGAAATAGAAAAAGGAAAAGCAAAAGTATTAGCATTTAAAGATTTCAAGAAATAGAGAAAAAAAATAGGCGAAAATAAAAATAAAACCAGCTTTCTCGTCGATTTTCTCTCTCTCTCTCTCTGTTCTGATCATCTGAGTCACTCAAAACTCATAGTGATCCCAGTTAACGGCATAAAAGCCACCAACCTCATACCGAACCTAGTGAAGGAAATAAGGAAAAGATTCTAGTTGGGGCCAGAATACCCTGAAAAATTATTTTAAATCAGAGGGATAACTTTAATTTTCTTGGGTGAAAAAAAAATGTCAGGGTACACCTGTGACCATTCTGGTCCCTTCACGGCTCTTCCCTTGGTAGATGTAATGGTGGCAGTGGAGAGGATGGTGGTGGTAATGTTCGATACAAGGTAATGGTGGCGGTGATGGTGATGGCAAGGTGGGGAGGATGGTGGTAGAAATGTGGTGGGAGGATTGGTGGTTGATTATATTATGAGAAGATGGAAGAGAAAAATCCATCAAAATCTTTGGATGAGAGGTGAGATTTTTATTATCTATAATACATCACAAAATCTCTAAAAAGCCATTAATTTCAAAATGCTTTCAAAATCAATGATATTTTGAATACATCCAAACTTTAATAGATTCATACACATGAAATTCTATAGACTTCTGTAACTTTAACATTCTAATTATTTTCTTTTTGAAAAAAAAAAGAGACAACTAGTGGCAAGCCACGGTTATCCACTTCTTCCCAACCCAGAGCAGCTATGGTATTTCACCATGCTCGTGGCCACAGTCAAACAGACTTCTCTAAAATATACTTAAACATTTACAAAAAAAAAAATTAGATCTTAATTGAATACCCTTAGATTTTTAAGCTTCTCTAAAATACGCCCATAAGAGCAACTCCACCCCTAAAAATGCGCTAACACCCAGCCCATTTAATCCACTCAAATGAATAGTGATTGACCCCAATAAACAGTAATTGGCCAAATGCAACTCTACCCCTAAAAAATACGCTGACACTCAACCTATTTCATATTATATTATTTCATTCATATCAATTAATATTTTATCATTAATTTATTTTTTTCTTTTAGGAAATTTCTTCCTTTCTCTCGAAAGGTCTAACATTTTTGGAAGTATTTTTGCTCACCACCATTTAGTGTGGTGTATACTCACCACCCTATTTATCACCATTAGATGAGTTTGAATTTCGAGATTTGTGCTTATCTACTACACGAATCTCGAAATTCAAACTCATCTAATGGTGATAATTAGGATGGTGAGCATACACCACATTAAATGGTGTTGAGCAAAAATGCACTCAACATTTTTGTTTCCTTCCCAATGTTTCCATTCCCTATCCTTTGTATTCTCCCCTTATTTCTCCGACCAACCTTCTCTCTCCCCTCTCATTTTTTCTCTCATTTTTCTCCATGTTTTCTTCTTCAAATGAGGAAGCTGAATATGCACCTAATTTCATTTGGATCAAAAGACCAGCAGATCTTTCTTCTTATTCCTTGAATCAGAGAGAGCTATCTCTTTTACTCAAAAATCCCAAATCAAGTTTTTAATATAATTTATGATTTACAGCTCCAAATTTGATTTCGTTTTTGCCTATGGATTTCTAGATAAGAGCACTACAACCCAAGGTAATAGTTTTATGGGTTTATCGCAGATTTTGGTGTTTCTATATTTGGGATTTATAAGCTTTAATCTTCAAACATAAGCTTTAATCAATTCAATGGTTGGAAAAGGGGGCAACAACTCATGTACAAAGGAGAAGGCAAGATTTGGTGACTAGGTTTGTGGGATGATCGGTGATGCCAGACGACATAGGCGCTAGAGATGAGATTATACAACGTCATGCTGAAGCCAGCGTGATGTCACATAGGCTAGGCCTTTGCTCAACACGTTTTGGGCCGGCCTAGAAGCTGGCTTGGGCTGAGTGCCAGCCTATTAGGCTTGGCTGGAGTGATTTTAGGGGGTGCCGACCTCTTTTTTGGACTTTAGGCCAGCCTAAAAAATTGGGCTAGAGTTGCTCTAAATATGTTACAATACAGCGGTCAAATCTATTTATTTATTTTTAGGATTAAATACTTAAAGTCCCTCATTCTTTTATTGTCATTCAAAATTAGTCTCAACCTTTTGAAACATTCCAACAAGCATCCAACCTATTGATAATGTCCCATCGGGTAACAATGGGTCTCACTTTTAGCTTACTTGGACACAAATAATAATAATAATAATAATTTCAAAAAATACATAAAGATGAAACAAATAAATAAACAAATTCACAAATAAAACAGAAAACAAAAATGAAGATCCGAAAATATCAAACCCTCACCAACTCCAAGCTTAACCTCCAACCATGCAAACCCTTTTCCAAGTTTTATACTAGTCTTGAAAGCTTTGATTGGCCTACTTGATTGAAAAATATTAAGACCTAAGGTGAGTTAAATTTGATAAGGTAATAAGGGAGGAAGACTTAGAAAGGAGGGGAGAAAGAACATAGGTTGATATTGATGTATTACCATCATAATCCTTGATATTAAAGGAGATAGAACAACCCGATCAAATAGTCGCCACCACCTACAAGATTGAATTTGGTTATATTTCTAGTATTTGAAGCCTATTGTAAGCCTTGAGTCAAAAAGTGCATCTGCCACCAGGACTGCCTCTTTGATAACATGTTGAAGTTCTATGTGATCTGTGTGGGTGATGATGTGAAGTGGATACCTTTTGTGACTACTTCCAGCTGCTATAGCATATTTGTTTTGCTCATGTTTAGAGTGGCCTTGAGCTGTAGGGTGGAGTTGGTGGTTGCGCATTAGTTTTTAGTGGTGATGACCTGATGAGAGTGGTGGTGACTGTTAGTTCCATGACCTTTTATTGATTGGAAACAAAGTAAGCTCTAGTTATTTTAGCAGAAAATTAACTTGGGTTTAACGGATGTTACACTTTCAATAAATTAAGTATTTTTTTGGAATATTCAAAAATGTTTGAACCAATTTAGAATAACACTAAATGTTAGGGGTTTTAAGTACTTAATCTTTATTTTTACTTGTGGAATTTTTTGGGAGATCAGGACCGTTCAGCATGTCAAGGTGGGAGATGGTAGCTTCGCAGTTAAATGCCAATCTCCCGCAAGCAAGCCCCATAGTCGGCCCACTACTCAGAACACCGTCTTTGTAGCGAGACAACACTAGGCGTTCAGAGCGGCAAGGATGGTTGATCGTCTGTTCGAGGACATATTTCAGATTCTGCGATTGAACCCAGATGGCAAAAAGTTCGATAAAGGTATTCCCATCCATCTTTTAAAATTTCTTATTCGAAATTACATAACCCTTTTCAAGAAAATTTTAAATTTTATTCAATAATTGTTAATTTGTTGCGCTTTGAAAGTTACTCGAGTGGAAGCAAAGAGTGAGACTTGCGAGATGTTCATGCATCTGGATGTGAATTCAGAGGTGTATCCGATGAGGGAAGGTGAGAAATTCTCAATGGCTTTAACTTCCACAATCAATTTGGATGGAACTCCTGATACTGGTTATTTCACCCAGGTAAAACCTGTACTTACTCAAACTTGTGTTTTTACTTTGTTGCTTATATATTTATTTATGGATTCCCTTCTTGTATTTTTTTACTGTATCTGTAATCCTGTATTGGTAATATGTGACATGTATGAAAGCATGTGCCAGTGTACAGTGAAAGTGAATTTATAACTTGGGTTATTAGCTTGAGAGTTATCGGTGATTTTAGCTCGAATGGCAAAACTGGTTTTTTTTTTCTCCGGAAACCCGTACTGTTTTTCTGAAATTTCAATGGTGGTTTATTTAGGATTTTTTGTTTGGGTATTTTTGGGGTCTCTAGCAGTTTCTGTAAGTCATGTGTATCTTGTCGGATTTCGTGGTTAGTCTATTAGGTGGTTTCGGAAAGGCAGTCCTGGTCCTTTCACATAGGGAAATGCCGAAGTCTTTGTAATAAGTAATTAGTGATTAACAAAGGCCACTGGAAGGTGAACGTAAGTTGTAGATAAAATGAGCCTGCATATTAAGGTTAGATAGTTATGCACATCTTGCATTGTATATCATTTGTGCCAGATCTTCTATTGTCTAATGAAGGTTAGCTAGGTGATGATATCACCTAGCTAGTAAGTTTTGAATTATTGTAAATCAGAGTGGTATCTGTTCTAGCCGACCCCACTTAGTGGGAAAAGGCTTTGTTGTTGTTGTTGTTGTAGAGTGGTATCTGTTCATTTGTCACATTGTATCACCAAAGTCCAACATGGTCCATGACATCCTGAAATTTTGTTTACGCTTTTTCTTGTTAGCTCAGTTTGAATATACTGTCCTTGTCTATCACTTCACCTACCACTAAAACGAATAAACTATATTTCTGGAAATAACTTGGACAGAAACTTGAAGCCTGAGCTACATCCATAGTGATGCATGGTTTTGGTACCTTCACATGTGGTATGGATGTAAGCTTTTTGTGACCTGTGATGGGTTTGAACTTCTGAAATTTGTATAAGCTTGTAATAAACTGACTGGGATGTTTGATTTTGTGTGGATTTTTTACCTTTCCATTCCTCACTTGTCATCTGACTTGAGCCAGACACGTGGGGCAACATATATTGGGTGACATGCGAGCACGTGTGTTCACTAGGCCCAATACGTGAATTGTTTTCTCTGATACAATGATAGAATTAGAGCATACACAGCTCAAAACCAATTGGCTGTAGATGTACAAGCCCATGACCTTGTATTGTCAGGAAACACTATTGTTTTCCTGAGGTGGGATATATTCTCAGCAAGTTACATTTGCGGTTACAACTTTGGTATTTGCAATGGCATTTTCATTTTACGGATACATGCCCAGAGTCTGCTAGCCACTCTCTACCATGATCTAAGTAAGGTACATGTACTAGTACTTCTGATTTTCAAACATGAAATTTCCTTTGATGTGCCAACTGAAACGCATTTAGTAATGCAATGGAGATGGAAGTAGGCTTTCCTTCCTTTCATCCGACCTATCTTGAACTTAGATGGGGTTCATATTTTAAGAAGGCCTTTTTCGTGAGAGATTTATGAAAAGTTTGTGAAATGTGAGCAATTAGTTGGGTGAAAAGAAAGTCATTACTTCTTTTAAGGGTTGAGAGATAACTTTGATCCCGTCTATGATCTATCAATTATTTTTTGTCTGTCATTGTTATTCAATGTGCCATTGCATTCAAGATTCAGGGGTACTTCTTATGAACACGGATGGGGAAAGAGTAGAGGTATATTTAGTATGGTGGAAAATACTGGGTTCATGTTAACTGTTGATCTGGATTTTAAGCCGCATAATCCAATCAATTAGGCTTTTCTTAGTTTGTGGAGATTTGTTGTAGGACAACCTGAGAAGGATGATGGAGGTAATATAGTGATGGTTTAGGAGGTTGGTGTAGGAGGGCAGTGAGGATGTCATGTAGCTTTGGCATTTGAAAGTCTGATTGGAGCATGGGTGGCTTTCCAAACTTGTGACATGATGGCCGATGTCTTGAGTGAGGTTGAGATTTCAGACAAATTATGGCGTGGTCAGTAGTTATTCTGTTAAATGTTGTTATTCATGTACTCGGAGCATAATCTAGTTTATTAATAGCACATCTGGTCTTCCGTGGTTCCTCCTAAATACAGTTTTGGGATGGATGGAAATATAGAGTAATTCGGTTGTCCAGAGAACTTGATTGCTAGGGGAAAATTCATGGTGAATGGTGTTACAACTTACATTGCCAGTGGCATAGTCGGTTGATCATTTATTATTACACTCTTGTGTAGGTGGGTTTTAACTTATGGAACATGGGAATCTTCAAAGTTGCAGATTTCCACCACATCTTGAGATTGTTATTTATTGGAATGCCTTATTATTTTCTAGATTTTATTTATGTGCCTTTAGGTTAGAATATTTCTTTCTTGCCTTCAAATAAATTTATTCTTAAACTGACAAATAAAATGGCGGGGCTGACACTTCAAGTTGGTGATAGTATCTGCTTGGATTTGATCAAATTATTAGGTGTACGTATGATAGCATTGAAGGTCAATATGAAAGGTCGCATCTTTGTCCATAATGAATTGACAATGAGAACAAGTAGATGATTCCTAAGGATGATTGTGTTCCATGTTTTCTTGACCCTTGTTCTCAGCGGTAGTTGCTTGTGTTCGGTTTTACCAAATTATTGAGCCACATTATGCCTGACCAGTAAAGTTTACCCTTTTTTGCAGGGCAATCGCAGGACATTGGCTGATGAATATGAGTATGTCATGCAAGGGAAGCTTTTTAAGATTTCAGAAGGTTCTAAACGTGATCCAAAAGCGTACGTATAAAAACCTTCACTTCTTAGGATCTAACTATGATGCTATTTATTTGTTTATTCGTGACAAAGACAACAAAAGCTAAACTGTAGGCATCTGGAATTGGTATAATAAGGCAATAAGCTCACATGAATTTGATAAAAGTCCGCTTAAGGTATTATATCCTCGACAAATATGATCCTTGTTTTTTCCTAAACAAATTGTAGAGGATGATGATGCTATTCCTAAGACAATCAGTTGCTCCAATTACTTCTCGTACAGAAAGACAAAAAAGTATTGGGGTCTAACTACGTGTTTATATCATATAATCGAGGATGTGTTTTTATTGGGTTTTGTCTTGTGGCTTCAGGGAGGTAAATGCTTCATTTGGCGGGCTTTTGATGATGTTGAAGCGGGAAGCCTCACAATTCAAGAACTTTGAACTCGACCAGAGGATGTTTCTCCTCATAAGGAAGCTATGAAAAATCTACGATCATAACCAAACTATGACTGCTCTGCGGCTTTCGGCTTACGGCTTATGACTCTGTAAACTTGAGCTAACCCTTGATGTTTAGGATTAAGTGTGGATTGAGTAGAGCTTTCTACGTGAACTGGTTGTTACTGCATAAATTCTGAATGGTAGTATGTAGACATGAAATGCTATGACATTGGACAGTTTATATTTATCAAAACTAACTTCTTGATGCAATCTTCTCCCCCACCCCTACATTTTTCTCACGAAATGGATAGTATAAACCATTGTAGTTCAGCAATAATTGAACAAGTAAATAAAAAAAATTCATCAAATGTGCGATTTTGATGTAAATGAAGGGAAGTAGTAATTTCCTTGTATTCATGCCCATGACCATCTAATGTAATTAATAAATGTAACATCTTTGTCATTCATAGGATTTGGCTTAAATAATTGTTCAATCTAATTCATTGTCTTTGACCCTTGCTAACCTTGGTTTAATTAGATTTCTTGTCACTCATGACGTGGTTCATAGCTGCCATAATAGGGACCTTTGTTCTGCTGATAGAAGCATTTTTATGCGACTTTATTATCTTATTTCTTTGTATTCACTGAGTTAATTTTCATTTGTTGTAGTGATTTAAGTTATTTTTGTTTTATTGAATGTCCATTTGGTAAAGTTGATAATTAGAGATCAAATGGAGCAATTAGGAGCAGTTTTGGACTTCGATTTGATAGCGTGCATGGATATGCGCTGGACTTTTTTGGAGTTTAAAAGGTGTTAAACACATGCTAATGTATGAAGGAATTAAAGTTGAAGCTTGGAATACAAGGAATTACACAAGTAAGAGAAGTCTTACTTGGAGTGAAACACTATCTTATCTTATCATATCTCCAGCTGCAAGGGAAAGTCCTAGTCACATTCCAACACTCTAAAACTGTTTCTTTAGAATCCTAAAATAATTCAAACGCCTCATCCCTTTCTTCCTTAGATTCAGTTGTGCCGCACACATATACAAATGTCCTCAACGTTTTACACAAGCATGCCGTGCCTATTATTCACAATGAAGTTGCTGGAATTTTCAAAGTTTTTTCTATCTTTGTTTTAAGTATCGATGTTTATTTTAGTTTGCTTTTTAGGCATGATGAACATGTGCAACTATGTCTCTTTTTAGCTAGAGGTGAATTCGAAGATATGAACATATATTTTATATTAATTGATTACATCCAATTATTGTTTCATTAAACGTGAATGCAATTTATTTATCTGATTTATAGAAAACTTATTCTTGTATGTCTTTTAAGGGTGGCCAACTTAGTTTGCATGCTTGAATTTCTAGAATATAAGAGAATTTCACTTGATCGTTATAAACTTATATTTATAAGTAGTAAAAGTCCCTAGTCATGTTCAATTTAAGTATAATCCTTGGCAGGATTATCATGCTTTTCATAGGTACAAATGTTTCACCAATACTTATGATTTTCACATAACTTAATGATCTTCGAGATGTATCTCTATCATGCTAGTTAGGGAACTTGAGAAGAATAATTTGGCTGTATCACTGAGTCCAATTCAATGAACTTGGGAAAATTTGAGAGTTATTTAGTGTTTTTCACAGTTAATTTAGGGTATTGTCATTCTGGTTTATAGGAAAAATAACTAGATATTGACTTGTATACACATGTTTCATGTGAGGAGAAGAATCCGTTAGCTATCATTTCATCCGTATTTCATTCACAACTTAACTTACTTGTTGCCATTTACTTGTATTTCAATTTTAATTAAATTCGTTCAAAATCCCCCATTCATTGTTTCATTGTTAGTTTAACTTAGTTTTCAGTTTTATTAGTTTAGTTTGTGTTGATTAGCATCCCTTATAATATCTGGAATAGAAAGATTCCTACTTATTTATACTACAATTACATCATTTACAAGTTTAATTTGTGTGTTAGCTTTTACCACATCAGCTAATGAGAGAGATGAAGAAGATGGGTGTAGAAGAAAGGATTTTTATTAGTTGGGTGAACTTAAAATTGAATGGCAAATTGAAAAGTTTAGTGAGAATTTTTTTTTTAATTGGGTGAACTTAACTTAGTTTTTTTTTTTTTTTTTGTCAAACGATCGATTTTGTTAAATTAGTGTTAGATTAGCCTTATGTTGGTGTATGCTTTTCGCAGAAGATATAATGTTGATGAAACTTAGGAATGAGTAACTACGAGTCTACGAAGCTTAACTTTTGAAGAGAATTGTTAGAAGCTAAAGGTCTTTGCCCAGGTTAGTCAAAGACAAAGTATAAGAAGTGCAAGTTTAGCGCGAATGGAGGTTCAAATGCATTGGGGGTGAGGATTGGAGATCAAGAAGTATCAAAGAGCGACCGCTTTCACTACTTAGGATCTATCTTACAAAATAAACAGATAATTGGATGGAGACCTTAATCATATAATACAAGCTGGATGGATGAAGTGCAATAGTGAATCGAGAGTGATGTGCGACCGTCATATGCCACTAAAGCTCAAGGGAAATTTTTTATAGGATGGCAATAAGGTCAGCAATGCTTTATGGCACTGAATGTTTGGCGATGAAGCATCAACATGTACACAAAGTGAGTGGGGGAAAATTGGAAAAATAACCAAATTTTGGATCTCATGTAGAATTATAGCCGCCACTTTAATTAATTGATAAGTATAACCAAAATTTGATGTAAAAGTACTAATACACACTTAATATTAGAATTTCTCACAATAACCAGTAATACTGCAAATCTGAATATAGATGGAGAGAGTTTTTCGAATTCCTGCATTATTTTTGTCAAATTGACATCAATTAGTAATTAATCTCTTATCATTTTTTTTTTCATTATTTTATGTAACCCTTAAACTACCTTCGGATGTCTACAACCTTTAACTACACGTTTGAATGTTTTCAACCTTTAAATCATAATAAAAGCATGAATTAAAAACAAATAATAATAATAAAGCCTTTGAGATTAAATTGTTAGGCATCTTGATACTTCCAATAAGATTTTAAAATTGATAAGTGATTGAACAATGAAAGTGCAACCAAAGATAAAAATACGGCTTTTGTATCATTTTGCAAAAATCCAGAAGGTTGCAAAAAGTAGTTTACAAATTCTAGAGAATAATGAAAATAAAAAAGTGATGGACATTAATTCATCATTTTAAAGCGGTTTAAAGATTATGTTTTGTTTATTGCAAGGAACCTTAATATCAAGGATATATTAGTATTTTTACATCAAGTTTTTGTTGTAATTACTAATTATTATAAAATTTAAATGATGGCTATAACCCTAAATGGAGCCTAAAATTTGGTTATATTTTTCAAATTTCCGAAGTGAGTGTAGCGGAAATAAGAATGTTTCGTCGGATTTATGGAGACACGAGAAAGGATTAGAATTAGGAATGAAGATATTTGAGGTAAAGTAGGAGTAACCGAAATTAAAGGTAAGTTGAGAGAAAATCGGTTAAGGTGATTTGGACATGTGAAACGAAGTCTACAGACGTTCTGGTTAGAAGATGCGATTACACGACAAAGGTTCAAAGCCGAAGGGGTAGAGGAAGGACTAAGAAGACTTGGCAAGAGACTCTCAAAAAAGACTTGGAGTACTTAAATCTAAACGGATGACATGTCACAGAATAAGCATACTGATGTTCTAAGATTCATACAGTTGATCCCACTTAATGAGTAAAATTTTATTATTATTTAAATATTAAATTAGTCATTGACGAAATTCGATCCTACTATCACAATAACTCTAACTTATTTCCGGTTGCAACGTTACAAGTTGGGTGCCAAGTGCCAACAAAGGAAGACTCGATAATATTGCTTGTAATAAAAAATAATAATATAAATAGCCTTTTAAAGGTGAAGAATGTGAGCTAGGGAGAGTTGGACAGGCTCTCCTATCCTCGTGCTACAGAGGCGCCGCTAAGAGAGAGACGACGACGAAGAAGACATGTTCTACAGAGGGTAACGCACCTTCCCTTCCTTCTAAACCTTTATTTCAATTTCTTCCTTCTTCATCTTTCCATTATCTTTAGGTTATTTCAATCCATATAAGTGCTCTTTTCTCTATTAATTTCTGTCGATGGCCTTTGTTGATCGATTTCTTTCTGTTGTTCTTGTTAATTGTGGATTAGTATAAATTAGATGACGCCCAGAATTTAAGTTCATATTTTTCCGGAATTTTTATGGATTATTTGGGGTTCAACAATGTAAAATGATCTGATTAGAACTAATTTTATTTGGGCTTGTTTTGCTTGCCTTCGTATGCTCGATTTCGAAGAAAATTCAACAAATTTAGTGTCTATAGCTAGTCATCGATGATTCGGAAACCTTTACACCAATAAAATTCTTGCTGGTAATTTGTAATTGGATAATATTGTTTTCATAAATGGACTCATAAATTTTTTTCCGTCTTTTATTTGGGCTGAGCAAGCTTTTTTCTATTTGAGGAACTATTGATTACTTCCGTTGTTTTCAAATTGGCACACGTTTAAAGGCGGAATTAGGATGTGAAAGTATGTTCATCAAAACCTTATAGTCGAAACTAAAACAATTTCGAGAGGTTTATTTAGGACCTGAATAAAATGTTTGACCTCATTAATATCTTAAGCGAGTACCTGTAGCTGAATACCGAGTATGATTTAAATTTATGGTAGGTGTCTAGGGTAATGGAATAAAAATATATGAACCAAATTCTGAGATTCGATGCGGATAATGCAAATATATTTACGAGTTTTCTTTGTTTTGTTGGGAAAAATCCTATTTCTATATTTGTGAACAACTATATATGGTTTTCCTTAGCAAATTTATCTTTAGTTTATAATTTTTACACCTAAGGGGTTTCCCAACTTATAAAATTTGTAAGTTAGTAGCACAAGGTCCTCAGTCCCAAAGGGTAGTATTTGTGTCTTGTTCTACTTGTATGATCGTATCATTTAGGTTCATGTTGCTTACTAGTAAGAACTCTCACCCAATTTGTCTTATTAACCATTTTAAGGTGACTCGGCATTTAACCCAACCTTTTCCTTGATCATGCTGTATTTGTGTCTTGTTCTACTCGTATGATTGTATCATTTAGGTTCATGTTGCTTACTAGTAAGAACTCTCACCCAATTTGTCTCATTAACCATTTTAAGGTGACTTGGCATTTAACCCAACCTTTTCCTTGATCATGCTGTGTTTGGGTCAATTTATGTATTTTATTGTCAAGTGA